TGATGAGCACTGTGTAATGGTTTAGATTAGGTGTCCGCCCAAAGCTCATGTGTGAGACAATGCAACAAAGTTTAGAGGTGAAATAATTGGCTTATGAAAGCTAACCTAATCAGTGCATTAATTGTCTGATAGGGATTAACTGGATGGCAACTGTAGCCAGGTAAGGTGTTGCTGGAGGAGGTGGGTTATTGGGGGCATGTCTTTGAGGTATATATTTTGTCCTTGTGAATGGAGTAGACACTCTCTGCTTCCTCATGTGATGTCCTGAGTCACCTTCCCCCACCACACTCTTCCACCATGATGCTCTGCCTCCCCTTCACCTTAGAGAACGGAGTCAGCCATCTATAGACTGAGATCTCTGAAATCATGAGCCCCCAAATAAACTTTTCTTCCTTAAAATAGTTCTTGTCTGGTCTCTCTCTTGATCATAGCAGTGAAAAAGCTAACTAAAACAAGCTGTTTCTAACCTGAGTCACTGATAGAGAACTGCACTGGAGACAGCCCAGGTGCTCAATAGTTAGGAGTTACTTTTTTTTTTATAACTTTATTTTGTTTATTTATTTTTTATGTGGTGCTGGGGATCGAACCCAGTGCTTCGTACATGCTAGGCAAGTGCTCTTTATTGAGCTACATACAACTCCAGACCCTAGTAGTTACTGCTGATGCTGTGTGTTACTACTGTCAGACAAATGTCTGCCCTAAACTCCTAGCTCCTTAATTTTTGGTGGTCTAGAATTTTTATTATAATTAAACATGACCCCAAGCTCATATGTACATGATATCTCATGAGTTTTGCATGCATATGGTGGCCACTGGATAACAGTGAGGAACAAAACCAGTGCAGCAAAATGGGGTTCACTTACATAAAGAGAGGTGGAGTATGTTATGGGCAGTAGGGAGTAGAGTATGGGCCTGCCTATGGCCTATGACAGCTGTCATCTGTCACCTTCACAGAGCTGCTGTCTATTTTCTTGAAATTTCACACACACAAAATGTGATCTTTATGGAATCTGACACATACAATGTTTTAAAAACTTACTTTCTTAAATATGAATATGCTGGAATAAGGTCCTCAAAACTTATGTCTAACATAAATTACTTCTAACTAAGGATAGTGTTTCACCTGGGATTCTGGGGGAGATGAACTGTTAGATAACATGGAAGGTAGCAGAAGATCTGCTCTGCCAATCTTCCAGCACAATGCTGGGGTAAAATCAAAGGTTTAAAGAATCTGTTGTAAAATATCTTTCTGCTCCCCCCTCCCCTCCCCCCAAAATAGGCAGGTTTTGAAAGTTCTTTTCTTTCTTTTTTTTTAAACTATTTTATTTGCATTTTAGCATCTCAAGTTAGGATGTATTTTTTTTTTTAATTAGGTTATCTATGACAGCAAAATGCATTTTGATTCATTGTACACAATTGCAGCACAACTTTTCATTTCTCTGTTTGTACTAAAAGTTCTTTATCTAAAATTTTCCATATGTGGCTCAACTTGAAATATTCCTTAAATATTTTACATGATGAATGTGTAACACTGAGAGATTATACAGCTAGAGGCATTCTCCAAAAAATGTAAATGCGATCCAGGCACAATGTAAAAGACTGTCAGCCCAAAGGCCATACATCAGAGGTATCCTGACCTGGACATACTTCTTTGTCAAATTCAGCCTTTGAGAAATTTGATCAGTCAAAACTATGCCCCACATCTCGTGGATTTCATCCCTTAAAAAGTTCCTATGCTTGGCTTGGAAAAATATGGAAAAATAGAGAATCAGCCAAACTTCTCTGTGTCTTTTGGTTTTAGTCAACAATGATTTTAAGACCCCAGAAAACATCCCTGTAAAATATGATCCAAAATTAAAACAGCAAATTTCCAACCTTTTCTCAGCCTTGTCTTTCTGCTGACTTTGATCAAGAAGTCACAGTGTGCCTAGTCTGAGGTGGACTCACTGAATGTGGAGGACTCCTTAGTAAGCCTCCACTTTTTTTGTTTTGTTTTATTTTCTCAGGTGTCCTGTGAACAGTTCTTTAGTCCCTCATGCTCCACTTCTGAGATTCAGGGGTTGTCATAAATGTGGCCCCAGAAGTGATGAAAAATTAAGGTAAACAGGATTACCAAGTCTCTTTTTTTCCTAAGTTGCTATAAACGTGAAATGGAATTTTAAAATGCAGACTTACAGCCATTTTTGCAACTTCTTACTCAATATCTGGCAAATGTTTGGGATGATTTGGTTTAAATGATGTAGCACAGGAGGAGAATAAGAAGATCTTTTGAGGACAGGTCCCCCCACTTACAAGTAGCATGGTTCTGAGATAGTGTGGGAATCATTCAGCATTTCTACTGTTTGATGAATGTGAATAATTTGATTGTAATTGTAACTAATAATAGTCCCCCCAACGCAATCAACTAGGGGTGGATGTGAGTGTCAAAGGCTTAATGACTGCATTCTTTAATACTACTAATGGTTTAGTCAATTTGGGAGATTTTTATCATCCAGGGAGAAAAGGAATAAAGAAAAATTTAAAGAATAAAAATTGTGTAAGTATAAACACTTGCTTCTGTTTGTATGGGAATATACTGAAGCCTAGTAAAGAATAGGTATTTTAATAACTGCTAGGATGTATAATTTCATGATTTTATGACCCTGTAAAAACCAAACTCAAATGACCTGATTCCACTAGCCATTACTCTGCTGAGAGTGGTCTGCTCCAGGCTGGCCACACCCCTGGGGGATGTGCATGTTTTGCTCACTTCACCTCTTGTCTGTGAACATCCTGTGATTCCTCTTCTCCATCTGAGTTCCATCTGGACCATTCCCAACACTCATCTGTACCATGCTTATGGCTGCTATTGAGCATTATCCTGTTCTATTATTTAGCTCACAAAGACTGGCATGCCTTCTATGAGCCAGGATCTAGTGACACAAATGGAGTTAACAAAGATAGGGCCACGGTCATGCAGTGAGGTCCACCAGTTGGTCACCAATGCTAGTGTGGTTCAAGGTGCCATGTTTGACCAAACACATTAGACTCACTCCACTTACAGGGGGCGGAATCATGACAACCGTTACACTGCCCTCTTTCACTTCTTATTCCTGTCACTTCCTAACCTTCTAGATTTTCTTCCTGACAAGATTTTGTCAGCTGGCTCATTCTTCACACCCATAATGCTGCCACTACCCCAGTCATTACCCCAGTCAGAATCCATGCACACTGGCTTTTCAGTTCTTTGCTTTCTAGTCTAGATCCTACCTCCCCTTCCTCAACTGGTCTATTGGGAAATCACCAATTCAAACATATTTTCCCCTACACAGAATTTTCTTTTCTTCCAACTTGCTTTGTTATTTACCACGACTGTGCTATTTAATTTTACCAGATACTTCTTATTAACTGGCCCCCTCATTTTCTTCCAGTCCATTCACAGCCCCCTTCTGCTCTTTCTCCCTTCACTATGTGGATATTGTCTTTACTTCCTTCATTATTCAATATCTTTTGTTATTCGATACCCGTCACCCTCTGACCTGTCCCAACCCATGAAAACCCCCAACCCAGGAACAGATCACTGTCCACATTTGCACATGGATGGCTAAGTGTGGCTGATGCAAAACACACTATGGGAAGAGCCTAGATCCCCAACTCTTGTGGCAGCTATTTCAAACCTATCCTTGTTTCTTCCAATATCCAGATTTCTTGTCCAGAGTACCTTACCTTACTCCAACTTTACTGAGAAGTGGAAGGCATGAATGAACCTTTCTCTGTCTGAGTTCCCAAACATATGCTCATGGACAATCAATCTTCTCCTTCCCTCTGTCACAGGGCATCATCCACTCCCCAACTCCTATTAACCTGCCACCTGGAGACTCAGATAAGTTCCTTGCTCTGAAAGTCAGGCACAGGACCTGGGCAGCACCTAGCCAGCCCTGGATACTGGGTGTTCAATAAACCACTCTTTGCTTCAGTTGGTGTCTCTGAGCTACTTTTTTCTTTACAGCTCAGAGACTACTTCACAAGAGAGGGTACTTAGTAGCTATCCTCATTAACTACCTCTGTGGGAAAATACTAGGACTTGATATGTTAAAGGATATGAGCAAGAAACAGGGCAGAGGGAGGAGAGGGGGAGGAAGGAAGGAAAAGTCAGAGTGCCTGAGTGTGTGCTCTCAGGACCAGCCAGTCTCAGTGTTGCTCACTCACTGTAACACAGACGTTATGGAAGATGTCACAAACACAAATCATAGTGCACTCCACAGGGGCTAGGATCAGAAGACATTTTGCAGTCGTAAAGAACAAATACTAGACATTGGCTTATCAAACTCAGCAGTGTCCAAATACTCAACATATCAAAGAAGTGCTGTCAGTCCCTGAGGGAGGATGTGAAATTTCAATCGTCTCCTTCACACGGTGGTCATCATCTCCCTGTCCACAGTATTAAATCTTTTTTAATCCTTTTCAATCCTGCTTTTATTTCATGGCCACTATGAAACTTTCTCCAAGCCCTGAGGCCAATCACCCCTTGTTCAGTGTCCCCACAATCAATGTACAGGCTGTCAGGGGATATACCAATACATTCTGAGACCAATATCCAGTCATCTCCCTAAGTCTCTGAGTCAACAGCAACCTGCCTACCTTACCTTCACATTTCCTGCATAATTACTGCTGCATAATTCCTAAGAATCCCATGTCTGCTTTGCAATGAATGAATGAATGAATGAAAGGATGAGACCAGATAAGAAATTTTAAAAGGATAAAGCCTGGTGGGAGCTGCATCTTCGATTCCAACATGGCCCATATCTCTCCTCTGTAGTCACACCCACATGCTCCTGTGAGTCCCCCCCTCATCCTCTTCATGAAGGTCAACAGTTATCCTTCGCCACACCTCACCTCAGTCATCTCTTTACTGTAGTCAATACTCCAGGCAGATCTGTCAATCACTGTTGCACCCACCTGGTTGAAGAAAGTGGTGGGTGCCACCAGCTGAGACTCTGAGAGTGTGCCCAGCCACTCACCTGGCCTGCTGGCAGACGCAGCAGACCCAGACCTTCTCGTGCTTCTGGTAGGAGCAGCAGCTCTTGCAGACGTTGAACTTGCAGTCCCCACAGCGGCGCTTGGTGTTGACCAGGAAGGTGAAGGGCGAGCAGCAGCGCATGCAGCAGTGCTCCACGAACTTCTGGTGCTTTGAGAGGATGCTGCACTTGCTGCCTTCCTCGTCCAGCTTTTGCTTCATCTCACTGGGAAGCCAGAAAGAGAGGAGGAGAGCGGGAGAGGGGGAGAAGAGAAACAGTGCATCAGGTAGGGGGCCATCTCCCCAAAGCAGCCAACCCTGGCCCTCCCACAGGCAGAGAGACCTTGCAGGATCTTCCTGTAGAACGACAGAATCCTGAAAGATCAATTCTTGACACAATGTCCCGAGACAAAGATGGGCTGATATTGCATAATCCTGTATCTCACATTTACCATTAGTGAACACGAAAACCCCCTTACGAATATTTCAGAGACTACATGGAGAAACAAATTATTATAAAACTAAGCATCATAGAAAAAATAAAAATCTTTCACTTAAATGCCTTTTTAGAGGAGCAGGAGATTACTTATGATAAAATATTAATCCTTTCAACAGTCTTGCTGGGAATATGAAAATGCTGTTCTGGTCTTATTTGGCATCCCTGGAAACCGACACATAGAGGGATCTTAAGGGCTTTCAAATCAATGTGAGTCAATAAGGATGCTTTGGGTGACAGGCAGATCTGAGGTACTGGTGCTTCGGGGCTGGATAAAAGACAATCCTCTTCTTCCAGACAGCTCATGGTCCAATGGGCACACAGCCAGCCATATTAGTACAAAATCTGATACCACACACATGCCTCTCTGAACTCAGAGAGAAGGAAAGAGAAGTCCTGAGACCAAGGATCAAGCCCAAGCAACCGAGTTACCCTGGGGACACTAACTGAAATAACAAATGCGGCCGAATTGGCAACTCTGGGTTGTTTTTCCCACTACAAAAATGGCAGCTGACAAATAGGAATAGGAATATTATTGTTTCTGTTACTATTATGATTTTCACTACTACTTTACTTTTACTGTATTATTGTTATTATAGTAAAACACTGTATATACTATAGTAATATATCACTATGATAATTTGGTGTCATTATTTTTTTGTGCCCAGTTTTGTGATTAGGCAAGTCATACTGGATATGTCCATGATATTTGGCAAATATTTACCTCCATTTATGTCTTGTGTTTTGTGCTTATGTTGTTTTTCAGCACTTAGATTTTAAATTTTCTGTAGTTCAATCATCATTTACATTTTTAATTTTTCTGTAGTTCAGTGTTTTCTCTCATGACCCTATAGACTTTATATTTTGCCTAAGAAGGCCAATAACACCCCACCTGTTTTTCACACATACTCAATTAGCTCCTGTGGTGGGTTAACCCATGGCCTGCCCAAAAGACGAGTCCACACCCTAATTCACTGAAGTCTGTAAATGTGATCTTATTTGGAAAATGATGAAGAAGTAATTAAGTTAAGGATCTCTAGATGAAATCATCCTGAATTATCCAGATGGGCTCTAAATCCAATGACAAGTGTCCTTCAAGAGACACACGACAATGTGAGGACACAGGAAGAGACTTCAGTGATTCCTACAAGTTGAGGGTGCTGGCGCTTGCCAGCCCCTCGAAGAGCTAGAAGTCTCCCCCGGAGCCGTGAGAAGGTGTGGAACTTTGCCAGCACCTTGATTGCAGACTTCTGGCCTCCAGAATAACAAACCGATGATTCCCCATTGTTTTTAGCCTCTTATTTGTGTAATCTGTTACAGCCCTGTGAGGAAACTAATGTAGGTCCCATTTAAATAGAAGGAAGAAAGGGAGTAAGGAAAGGGGTGGGGGGAGAGGAGGAAGCTGGAAAAAGAGTGTGGAGTCTTCTTTTCCTTTTATATCTTTAGCAGTCCTATTAGCTTCACCTTCAAAATGTGGACTGCATCTTTCAGGGTAGGCAATGTTAGATGTCAGCATAAACACTGTGTTATGGTTTAGAGATGAGGTGTACCCCAAAAGCTCACGTGTGAGTCAATGTAAGAATGTTCACAGGTGAAAGATTCGATTATGAGACTTGTAACCTAATCAGTGAATTAATCCACAAATCTGGATTAACTGGGTAGTGATTATAGTCAGGTAGGTGTGGCTGGCGGTATGCCTTTGGGGTTTCCATTCTGTCCCTGGAGGGCAGAGCTCTCTCTCTGCTTCCTGGTTGCCAGGTCCTGAGCTGCTTTGCTCTGTTGTGTCCATTCCACTTGAGGCTTCCTTCCACTCGGAGCCTCACTTCAGGCTCCGAGATATAATAGAGTTGGCCGTCTATAATTTTTTCCTCTTTTAAATCATTCTTGAAGGTCTTTTGGTCACAGCAGTGCAAAGCTGACTAAGACACACAGTCAACACAAGATGTTACCTGGGTAACACAGCACACTGTTTTAGAGCAAATACACCACTCTAAGGATAAAAACAAGTGTTCTAAAGATAAGAACAATGGTAAAAAGTATAGTAAATACATAAAACACTAACAGTCAATTATTATTATTAAGTACTATGTACTTGGCATAATCATCTGGGCTATACTTTTATATGACTGGCAGTGCAATAGATTTGTTCACATCAGCATCACCACAAATGCATGAGTAAAGTGTTAAGTTACAACATAACAACGGCTATGAAGAACCAGGCTATAAGAAATTTTCATTTTCATTATAATCTTATGGGACCACTGTTGTGTATATGGCCCATCACTGACGAAAACAGGTGGCACATGACTGTATTAAGTTCTTTTTAAAATTTTTAGGTTTATTTTTAACTGATATCAATGAAAACATAAAAGCTATACACAAAGTTCTTGGAGGTGTTACTAATCCTCCTGTATGGGGTGTCTCTTAACTCCTGTTCCAGGTGCTCCTTTCCTTCATGATTCATCATTTGGATTAAAAGACATCTCCAGCTAAGATTGCTTTTCCTATACATACACTCTTCCTGTGCAAATGTCTTGCAAAAGCTATGCATTTGCTTTCTTGAGTCCCCGCAGAGGGGTCCTCAATTCTGGGCCTGTTTCATGTTTGTCTCTGTGCTTGGGAATCCTGCAACACATGAATAATAAGATTTTGATCTTCAGTCCCCTTGGTGGTAGAGGCTTGGGTTTTGAGGTTTACATTTCTCATGCAAGACTCCTTTTCCTCCCAGGGATTCAAGCAAATATTACCTTCTTTGTAGTTCCCCTAAGCCAGTAGGTAGAAATTCCCTAGTGGCTCCTTCCACTGAGAGCGAGACTGTTGAAGGAACGAAACTTCAGCTGCTTCAGAGGCTCATGGCCATACCACCTGCTTGTGCAGAAACTTTCTCTCTGGTTTTAAATCCCCTGTTCACATGTACCCAGCTATGGTCAGAATGTTTATGTTCTTACCCCCAAAATACAATGTGATGACTTTACCTTCAATGTGATGACTTTAAGAGGTAAGGTCTTTTGGAGTCAACTAGATCATGGGATTAGGCATGAGATGAATAATGTCTTTATAAAAGAGGCCTCAGAGAGCTGCCTTGCCCGTCCCCTATAAGGAGAAGCAGAGAGAAAGCACCATCCATGACCAAGGAAATGGTCTCTCACCAGACACTGAATCTGTCAATGCTTTTATTGTAAATGTCCCTGCTCCAGAAGTGTGAGAAATAAATTTCTGTTATTTATGCACCATCAAGTCTGTGGTATTTTCTTATAGGAGCCCAAATGGACTAAGATATACAGTCTGAGAATTTGTTTTCATTTCCACCCAACTTTGCAAAAATTGAGACACAATCTAGATATATAAAATTCACCCCCTTTAAAGCATACATCTCACCTTATTTCTGTATGTGCATACATTTAATAAAGAAATTTTCATCTCGTCAAAAAGAAACCAAGGATCCATTAAACAATCCCTCTTGATTCTCCCCTTCTCTCAGCCCCTGCCAGTTACTAATCTACTTTTGTTTTAGGAATTTGTCTAATTTGGGCATTTCATATAAATATACACACTTGGCCTTTTATGTCTGACATCTTTCCTTTGCATAGTGTGTTGAAGGTTCATCTATGATGTAGCATGGTATACCTTCAGCCCTTCATTCTTTCTTTACTATTGAATAGCATTCTACTTATGGATATACTGTATTTTATTTATCCATTCACCAGTTGATTGACATTTAGGTTTTTTTTTTTTCCTGAGCTATGATAAGTAATACTGCTATGAACATATGTATACAAGTTTCTGAGTGGACATATATTTCAATTCTAGGAGTGGAAATGCTGGGTCATAGGGTAACACTACTTAAAAAACTTCCAGACTGTTTTATGAACAGCTACACCATGGCCAGCAGTAATTTGAAGGTTGCAATTCCTCCATACTCTCACCAACACTGTAATTGTCTGCCTTTTTTGTTATAGCTATCTTAGGGGGTGTGAGGTGGTTTCTCATTGTGGTTTTTATTTGTATTTCCCTCACGACTAATAATGCTGAACATCTTCTCCTGAGCTTAGGAGACATCTGCAAATCTTCTTTGGAGAAATGTTTATCCAAATCTAAATTAGATTACTTGTTTTTTATTGTTGTATTCCAGGTGTTCTTTATATATTCTGGAGACAAGTCCCTTTTCAGATACATGATATGCAAATATTTTGCCTTTTTATATTAAGCCTCATGTTTTATAAAGAGTGTTTGGTAGTTAATGGCCGAACTAGTATTGGAAGAGAAGACAGGCTCTGGTCAGCTAATGATTATAGTAAAAGAGCAAATATGTATACTTGGCTGAATAAAATGTTCACAGAGGACAGTACAGAGGTATTTTCTCAAGGAAGGAAGATGCTCTTCAGTCCTTTAGATTCAGAACACAATGAGCTAAGTCACTGACAGCTACAACATTGTAAACAATATAAGAACAGCCTCAAATCAACACTAAACTAAATGGGATAGAATATCCAGGAATAAACGTCTTTGAGGATCAAAAAAGTCCTATGAACTCAGTCCAAAGGATCACTTGAGCTTTATGAGTTGTTTCCCGACACACCAGACTGCAAATTCCCACGGCATTTTAAAACTCACTGAGTGTCCAAAAATAAACTGTACCAAGCCCTTCCAAGTTTATTACAAACAAATGAGGTGTTTTGAGCCACAGAGTCAGTGGTGGAAAGGAATGCCATTCATCTGGACCATTTGTT